CCTTGTTTCCCGGCGCCCTTTGCTGAAGGGCTGGAAGGATTCTTCTTTACCGGACACGCAGACTGCTGATGTTGGTTGCTGCCACACGTCCAGCATCTTCCAGCCTTCTCCTTCTTGCTGAAGTTGTGGGAGAAAGTACATGATGAGCCACGAGTACACCCAGCATCCGTCAAGAAGAACCGGCAAGGAATCGTGGCCTTCGTCTTTGGCTGGGGCGACGGCGGAGAAAGACCTCCAGCTGCATCCCCGGCCGCATTGATGTTCTTCAGCTTGGCAGCCTCCGTCCCACCTGAGGGTGCTGTAGTAGACGTTCTCGTTGGAGCCATAGTCTGAAGCTCCGCAAGGATTGCATTGTGGTAGCGGAGCACTCCATTATGGTCCGGGCGGCTGTGCAGCTGCAGCTCATTTTTAGTCAATGCCACCCTGAACTTCACATCAGCATTGGCATCGAGCACCTTGGTGGTCAGCCTTTCAACGCCCTTCAGTAGTACTGAAGCGTCCGGGATAGCAATGCCAATGTCCTCGGCTCTCTGAAGATATCTTCTCCATCTCCTGAGCTGAGCAATACATGCATGCACGTCCTCGGTCCCGGTCTGTCCTTCCAAGTGCTTTAAGATCGTGCTCTGCTGTCCCGCCTGGCTGGTACAACACGTACATCCGGAAGAGGAGCTCAGCCACCGTCGAAATCCTGTGCGTGATCACCTCTTCCTTCGCCGTCTTCTGTAGCGCACCCAAGAGGAGCGTCATCACCTTTCGCTCCAACCGAGACCAACGCTGATCTCGGAGCTCCTCTGGTATCACCGGCATCAAACTGAGTCTCTGAAGCGGGGAAGCGGCATTATACTGGTCGTAAGTCGTCCTTGCCACCTCCAAACACGCAGAAAACCACAAGGAGGCTTTGTCCGAAAGACTCCCTATAATCTGCTCCGCCTCATAAACCCAGTCCGCAAACTCCACCGCCGAGTCCTGGCCCACCGCCGGCATCATGGGCAGGTCCACAGAACTCTTCACATCTCCCTCAGGCCGACCAAGGTAAGCCTGCTGGAGCTGCGTCATACTCTTCATGAGCACCTCCATTGGATCCAAAGCTTGGGATCCAGTGCCGCTGGCTCCCGTCGCGGGAGCTGGTCCTGAAGATCGTGCCGGAGCTGTCGTCGCTCCACCGTAGCCAGATCCAGAAGGAACTCCTTGGCCCTCTGGTCCAGGTGGATGTCCTGCAACTCTTCCATCACCGGCTTTATGACCGTCAAGATCACCTACTCGCCCTTTTAGGCCTTGTAAAAGAGGATGTCCCGGAACCCGTCGTAATCCCGAATGATCCTCTTCCTGCGCTCCAGAACCTTGGAGCAGTCCAGGAGGAATTCCAAGACCTCGCTCTTGGTTGGGCCCCGGGGCCCCTGAGATTCCTTCCTGCCGTGCCTCACAAGAGGACGTGGCAGCTCCCTGAGGTCTCAAGGCCCTTTCGAAGGCACCTGCTCCTTGACTTCCGGTCTCGCGCGAAACTTGCCCAATCACTGCCTCGAGCAACTCCCGAAGCTGATGGTTCTCAGTTTCCAAGGCAACCTGTCTGTCGTTGTGTTGCTGCATCTCCATTCTCACACGCTTCTGAACTTCTGCAACAACTTGTTCTTGAGTTAGCGACTCAGGTGACGAACCGCTCCCTTGACTTTGTTGTCCATATAGAAGAGGAGCCTGTTTCACCCACTGCTTCATGCGCTGTTCTGCTGCCACCGTGAACAACCGAGGTTGGGGAGGAGTCATTGTCTGCCTCGTAGGGGTACTCACATGCTGCTGAGTTGCCGTAGGGGTTCTTGGAGCGGTCTCCAGGATTGGCGACATCATAGATCCCGCTTGGCTAACTCGACGCTGTAAATACTCTCCCACCCTCATAAACCACCTTGCTTGGCCTCCCACAGGTCCTGCTCGAGCATCTTCACGCTCTGGAAGCTCCTCAGGAGGAGAAAATGTGATTCCACCCTCGTACACCTGCTGATGCATATGATCCGTGACGGTTGCTTGCGAAGTCATAGGTTGTTCCATAGCCATTGGTACACTACCAACAGGTAAGGTTGCATCAACAGGGTCTGGTAGACGAGGTCTAGGAAGTGGCGTTGCTGCCGACAAACTCGCTGGCATGGTCGACTGCTCATTCAGTCCTTGGGAGCCAGCAGCACCTGACGGCAAGGCGCCCTCAGCGACGTCCTGATCGTTTCCAGAGGGCGGTTCGCCATCTAGCTGAGCTTGGGCTTCCATCGACGCCTGAGTCACTTCCTCATTTGTTCGAATTTCACCATTCGCCAGAGATCCATAGGCTGGTCCTTGCTGCTCTCCTTCGAGAAGTTGCGCTAGCGGCTTTGGGCTCATACCCTGAAGACAAAGAGTCTAGGCAGGGATGCAGCAACGGACAACCATGAACCCTCGCGAGCGGAGCTACAAGTCTTTTACACACAAGGCACTGACAGTTGCTTCTGCTGATCATGGCAAACTATCTCATGAGCTTCTGCCGATTATGGCAAACTATCTCCTGAGCTTCTGCCGATCGTGGCAAACTGTACCTCAAGGCTTCTGCCGATCTTGGCAGACATCAGCTGCGGAAGCATACAAGCCTTCGCACACATGCAAGAGCCCTCAGCATTCACAGAAACATATCCCCGACTTCGCTGCTCCTTAGGGTCTGGCAATGTCAGCATGGCTGATATCAAGAAAAGGGTTTCTACACTAGGCTCGAGGGCCCCGCCCGTGCAGCGCTGTCAGCTAGTGGGTTGGAGCCCATCCTTGCCCCGACGCGAAGAGGAGGTGCCTTCAACCCCCCCGCCCAGCGCTACGAGACGTTGCTGGTCGGCCCTGGGCCTGAGGACCTGCTTGTTTCGTTTCGGTCGGCTGGTCTTGTCTGCGGCCCATGTGTTGGCGCCAAAGCCTCGGAGCACCTTGAATTTCGGGAGCCAGATGTCGTGGAATGGGTCCAAAGTTTCATCATGCAGGGGAGGCTCCACTCACTGGTGCTTTGGTGCCCCTCCGGACCCTCTTCTGTCTTGGGCTTATGTCAAAGATCAGGACACCGATGCCCAGCCTTCCGGAGGCGCCAGAGAGTCACCAAGGTGTTGGCTGCACTTTTTGTGCTTTTCTCCACTGCCTGGCGGTGCAGGCTGCCCGTCCTCCTCGTCGTAAGAGCCTCCCGAGGCCCCAGGTTTCGAAAGCCTAGTTGCGAATGACCTTCCAGCGTCAGGGTCTTGATCAACGCCCTTGAGGGTCGCGCCCTTCTTACGGTCTTCAACGACCGCGCTTTGGCAGGAGGAGACGAGTCAATAGTCGACTCCGCCGTCACTCTCGCCGCCTTCACCAAGGGTCGCAGCTCAACTCGCACACTGCGGAACCTGTTGCTTAAAGCTGCCGCTCTGCAACTTGCCAGCGGACTGTCGCCAGCGGTTTGTTCTGGGCCGACCCGTCTCAACGTTGCCGATGATGCGACGAGGACACTCCGCTTCGGGACCTGTGTCCCCTCTCCCTCTTCACCTAGCATGCTCTTCTAGGCAGCTCAGGCGTCCTCAGGTCAATTGGTTGCACCTCGCCTCCCTCCGCATCGGCGAAGCAACCTCTGCCCACAGGTCCGACCTGGTCCTGCCGAGCGATGTGCGGCGACTCACTTGCTCACTGTCTGTGAAGACAGTGAGCTGGTGAGACGTCGTGGAAGATGGATTTCTCCCAAGGTAATGGAGGTGTACCTGCAAGAAGTATCATCCATCGCGTCCTTCCCCGATCAACCCGTGGAGACGACGAGAGCAAGAATCCTTCGCTTCGCCCAAGCCTTTCCTTTTCTGGCAGGCCAATACGTGGAACAACAGTTGCCGCCCTCGACGTGGTACACTCTTTTCTCAGCGGCCAGTTAGGTCTGGTGAGCTCTGCGTGGGCTTTTCTTTCGACACGGCATGGCAGATTGATGACTCAAGTTTTAAACCTTGCAAATGGGGGGGCTCAAAGCCCTAATAGTCCCGATTATGCAGTGTTGGTACCAGTGGAAGGATTCCGTCCGAAGGTGCAGAAAAGAAGGCAGCGGAGCTTCTGAATGTAGAAGCGAAGCAAGTGAATGCCGAAACCTCTGTCTCAAGCCTTTTCAGCACCCGCCCGCCCTCCCTTTGCTGCTGCGGCTGGGGCTTTGATTTCGACACGGCATGGCAGATCGATGACTCAAGTTTTAAACCATGGGGGGGGCTCAAAGCCCTAATAATCCCGATTCTGCAGTGTTCGTACCAACACAAAAAAATTCCGTCCGAAAGTGCAGAAAGGAAGGCAGCGGAGCTTCTGTTTAGCTTCGCAACCGAAGACATTGGTGGGATTATACAGCTGAGGCTGACACTTTTCTGGGCTGGGCCCTGCGGTCTCAAGGCTGAACGAGTGCGAGGCTTTTTTCTTTGAGCAAGACAAAAGAGACCAGCCTATCAGCTATTCTCTCAGGATTGTGATTGTGTTGTTTCACACAGTGATATCCCTCGATTGAGCCGATCACGGGTTCAGCAACTGGTAGCCGATCATGGTTAAATGAACTTATCAGGGTTCCGAACCGTTCAATTCGACTCGCTCTTTGGATAGTCTCTACAGAGGTGAAGATGTCAAGCCACATCGGCGGTAAATACTTGACAATGTCAAGGCAACTTACACTCGAAGTTAGGTTTCTTGGCTAAGCCCCAGAGGAATAATCCACGAAAAATGCAACGCACCCCCTTGCGGGCACACAGATTGGCGTCCCAACCTGCTTCACGGAGTATCCACAGCCGTCTTCGTTGGCAGCAGAACTGTGGATTCCCAGCTGCCCCGGCATCTATTCAGAAACTCGCACAATTCCTGTCCCGTAATCACAGGGGCGCAGACACACATAGACACGCACAAGAGCGTTATCGCAGCTTGTGCACGCTTCTTCGGCATTGGCTCGAAGGTGGGCCTCGGTCCGCTTTGCATGGTGTTTTTGCGAACAAAGCCACAGGCATAGGCACCAGTACCACAGCATGTCTCGCAAAACAGATCAGCACTGTGTCGAGTTTGGTGATCAGCAGCATCTCGTTTGGATGGGCGGCACAAGCTCGCTGGGGGGCTTGGAAGCTGAGGATACTTGGGAGGATGATCTACGCAGTGAGCTGGAGGGGCCGCTCGAGCGACAGAGGAGGATTGCGGAGTTGCTGAATCGATTTGATGGCGATGGGCCTGGGAGCGAGGAAGTGTTGGAAGTCTTGGGCCTCGACAGAGGGCTCGATGTGGGCCAGCAGACTTTCATTTTGACCTCAGAGCTGCAGCCTGCCACGCAGCGCTTGATCGACCGTTTGGGCTGCCGTCACCCTGCGACCTTGCAGCGAGTCTCGCAAGTCTACGCCTCGGTGGCTCGGCGTGAGGGTGACTCGGCAACGCCTTCCCTAACTATTTTTCTTTGTTTGTCTGTCTTGCAACTTCACAAAGACATTAGAAAAAGAACTTCCGCCAGGCCTGAGCCTCACCGAATTGAAAGGCTATGTGGCTTGCGTGCTGACACAGATTTTGCGAGAGCTTGACCCTGCGACGCCAACGCCTGATCCACCGACCAGTCCACGGATCCCGAAGCCTCCAACAGGACCAGGTTGGCCGCCAGGAGCTGAGTCGCCAGGCGGCCCAGGCTGCTCTTCGGACGGGCAGCCTGAACCGAGTGACCTCCAGCGCTTGATGCAGGCCAGAAAACAGGGATGAGTCGATGACCCTATAACAGATTTGCAGCAGTGAGGCAACTCGTTTCCTGGCTCAGGAGCTCAGCTCGTTGAACCGGTCGCTGGATCGCAGAGGCGTTGGCTGCAGCAACCTGGACCTTGAAGCGGAGCCTGCCAGCGAAACACCCGGCGAGGAAAGCGAGGTCCGCAAAAGTGTCGAAGTCTCCGAAGCCGATGGAGCCGAGCAGATGCGGCTTCTGAGAAAGGAGCTCGAGGCGCTTAGCCTCTCCTTGCAACACGGAACTAACCAAAACCAGAAAGAAGAAGGAGGAGAGTCTCGAACCTCCACCGAGCCGGCGCGCCCGGCGTCGCCTGTCTTTGAGGCACCGCGGCGCAGCGAAGCAGTTTTTCGAGAGCCCGGGACAAGCGGCCTTGCACCTGGGCCCCGAACGGGGCCTGCCGTGGCCATGCTTGCGGCCACGCTTGCTCAGCGGGATATGGGCAGCCTGGGCAGCTATCCAGCAGGGTCTGTCATCGATCCAGGCGGCTTAGCTTTCGTTTGACGTCTAATTGAGGTTCCAGGATTCTAGGAGGGTCCGAGGATGGCTCTTTGCATGTTTCCCGGCTTCGTGTTCCCAAGGCAACACCTACGCACGAGCGCTGCGTCATGCACAGAGGCCTCAAGACGGGTCAGCAGCCTCACGGCCAAGAGTTGCAGAGCTTCGCAGGCCCTTGCAGTCTGGTGCAGAGCCGTCCTCAGTCGAAGGGTGCGCCGCGGTGCTGCGGATGTGGCCACCCCGGGGTCCGGCCAGCACTGGCATCTCGGCCTCTGCTGAGAAAGGAGCGGGGAGAGGGCTTGTCTTCGGTGAAAACTTAAGGTGAGCCTGACCATGCAGTGCTGAGGTGGGATTGGTGACTTGGGCGATGAGCGATTGCTTGTGACCCTGTGCAGGCCAATGGCGGATGGCTGGCAGTCCCGCTTGAAGGGCGCAAGCAAGGGCATCGCCCATGGGTGGCAGGTCCAGTGACTCAGTGGTGGGGTGTGGGAGCTTGGAGGCACAGACTCCACCGCCCAGGCCTTTGCCGAGACGATGGACGGGATCTTTGTGCCCGAAGCCGGAGTGGACACCGTCGTGGAGTCCGCGGAGGTAGAGGCCGTGGCATCCCGTGGCCGTGCGCCGTGACAGCGATTCCGGAAAAAGGACGTGGAAGATCCAAAGGAAGGCTCGGAAGGCCCTGAAGGCGACGTGCTGTGAGATGCTGTGTGACGCACAGACGGCCCTTGACCACCTGCCAGGCTTCCCGCCGTCGCGTGACGTGCCTTCCATCTTCCGCCAGCCGAGTGTCGAGGAGGCCAGCGGACAGCGGACGTTGCTAGCCGAAGCGGGAGCTGGCAGCTCCATTGTGCCAGGTTCGGGAGCTGTTGGAGCAAGAGGGCCTTCCAGCCTTTCAGCTGAATCTCTGAATCTGAAGCTACATGTTCAGCTGGCGGCTGGCTTTGCTTTCTGAAGGCGCATGTTGCAATCGCATCTGCCGGGTGCTGAGACTCTGGCAATACGGAGGAGCGCCGCTCCACAATCCCACAACCGCAGGCCGGCTGCTTCTGCCTGAAGAAGCTCTGCCAGTCGCCAAAAGGAAGGATGTGGGACCCAAAGTTCTGCTTGTCTTCGCCCCTCTATGGCCGAGGCCTGGATCGGAGCTCGCACCCGTCCCAACCCCGGTGCAGGCCGAAAGGCCCTCCTCGGGCCCTTCTTTTCGGTCGCTTCTGCAGGTCTCTGTACGTGCTGGACTGCGAGTCCTCGGCCGCTCGGCACTTTGGCTCGAGGAATGCAAAAGAGAGACTGGCACCTGCCAGGTGCCGGCTTTGTTTCTGGGCATGCAGCAAGCTGAGAGGTCAACCTGGGGCGAGCTATGTGAGGCTGTAACTGCTGTTCTTGAGGCAAGGCTTCTGCCTGCATGAGCTGCGCCGCGTCGTGCTGGGTGGGTAGCTGAGGCAGACTTAAATCCTCCGGAAGCTTTTGATTCACGTGCTCAGGTACTGCTCCGTCTGCAAAGCCTCTGCTTTGCTGGCATGCTTCGAAAAATCCAAACAAACGACATACGCGACTCTTTTGTGCCTGAGGTTGTCCTTGGAGTTCGACGAAGGCTTTCTTCCAGCCCAGATGCTCAGAGACGCAGACAGCGGCAGTGGAAAAGCTTCTACACCATGCACCGGCCGTTGCGCTGCTTCGCTTGAGGTCCGTCTCGGCAGCGCCACGGTGCCACAGCGAAGACGTAGAAGCATGCGGCTCATGCGCTGCGCCGCTGCACATGCGCTGCTTCTTCCCACAGGTGCTCTACGGAGTCCTCGGCGTGCTTTGCGAAGGTCGCCAAGCAAGCAGCTCAGAGCCACACAGATTTTCCAAGAGTGACAATGACACAAGTCTCCGAAGGTGCAAATCGTGCAGCAACCAGACTGGTCATAATGCTGCGGTGAAAGAAAGGGGAGTCGGGACCACTATGAGTGTTTCATGAGCCTTCCACATCTCCAACACCGAGATCATGTCCAAAGAGTCTTTATTTGTTAGCAAAACCATCGCGGTTAAGAGTCTCTGACTTCGAAGCTATTCTGTTATCGGGCTTTCGTTGAGAGCAGACGCGACCCGTACTGCGCGCGGCACGATGGCGGGGGCACAACGGCGCGGGATTTCGGGACTACAGTGTCAGTGTGCGGCACTGTGTTCTCTTAGCACTGTGCGACAAGCATTCGACGCCGATTTAGGCACAAGGAGCTCATGTGTTGAAAAGGGCGCTGTAGCGTCGCAGGGTAGGCCGATGTATCGTGCCTAGCGTTGTCTGCCAAATTGGTAGCGGAGCGCTAGGTTCCGATCCGGGGCAATGGCTGGCGGCGGAGCACGCGCCTGGCAGCAGAAGAAGCGTGATGGCGCGGGGCAGCCAACCAATGCCCAGGATGTTAGCGCTGGGCCGTCTGGCACGGCCGATGTGAATGAGCCCAATGACGACGGCGGCCAAGAAGGGACGGTGGCACCTGAGCAGCGGCCGCCTGGACCCACCGCAGCCGAGGTGAGCGACCCCTGGCAGCAGGCGATCGATGACGGATGGGGCGCCCCCTGGCAGGAGCACCCGTGGAACGATGATGGTGGGGGTGGCTGGAGAGACTATCACAGCCACGGTTCTTGGAAGCCCGCCGGCCGTGACTGGCACAGCGGCAGCTGGTCACAAGGGAGCTGGGACAGCAGGACCTCCTGGCCGGCGGACGGGATCTTGAACCGCAAGCAGCTCAGGGACTTCCACACGGCGGACGTCCCCAGAATGGGGTCCTTCGGGGACCATGGTTCCGGAGCGGCCGGAGACTTCGGCTCACGGCGGGTGAGCGCTGCCTTCCCAACGGTGTGGGAGCAAGACGGCGACGATGGGTGGGGCGGCTATGGCTGGAGCAAGGACCGCACCACCGAGAAGCTCCCCGTTCCCGACTTTGAGGGCGCAGGCACCGACGAGGCTGAGGTCGGCAAGGGTGCCAGGAGCTACATAAGGAAAGTTCAGGTGTGGCTGCGCTGCACCCGGCTTCCGGCGGAGCAGCGCGCTTTGGCGTTGTACAACGCCCTTAGTGGGCGGGCCTGGGTGTACGCTGAAGAGCTCGACCTGGATGTGCTGGCGTCTGCCGCCGGGGTTAGTTATTACCTCGAGTGGATTCAGACGCGATTTGCTGAGGTCGAGCTGAATAAGATTTCGCAGGTCATGGGCGACCTCTTCAAGCGCTTCCGCCGCAAGAGCGACCAGACGATTCGGGACTACACGGTCGAATTTGAAAGGCTCCTGTTGCGCCTGCAAGAAGTACAATGCGAATTGCCGGGCACCGTCAAGGCATGGCTTTTTATAGACAAATTGCGCCTGAATGAGTCTGAGGAGCTGGCCTTGCTGGCGAGTGTGGGCAATCAGTGGAACTTGCGACTCCTCCAGCAGGCCGCTTTGATGCAGGAGCGCACCCTGCGCAAGAGCAGCTCCGACACCAAGGGTGGATGGCGCAGCGGCAACGGCGGCCCGGGGCGGTGGCCGAAGAACACTGTGCACATGACGGCGGCCACGGGCGAGGAGAGCGAAAGCGAACACGAGGAGCAGCCGGAGCCCCACGAGTCGGATGCCGAGCTTGTGCCCGAGGAGCTGGCGGTGGAACACCACACGGCCTACGTCGCCTACCAGACGGCCAAGGACAAGTACAAGGCCGCCACGCAGGGCAGGGGCACGGATCCAGCCGAGGTGCGCCGCAGGGCTGAAGAGCGCCTACGCCAGGCAAAGAGCCGAAGCTTCTGCGCAGTGTGCAAGCGGAAGGGCCACTGGCACAAAGACGAGGAGTGCCCGATGAAGGGCAAACGACCTGAGGCAACGGCCGAGCACAAGAAATCGGCGAATGAGTGCCACACCGTCCACATGGTGTACATGGCGGGCCCGGTGTGCGAGGACCACAGTGGCGACCTGGACTCCGAGACGGCCCTGGGCACCATCGACCGCACGATTCAGGACATGCCGGTGGAGCCGGGCCACGACAAGAGCCGGATCTGGACGGGCTCTACTACCAGGGCGGTGGCGACGACGGCACCGAGAAGGCCCAGGAGCCCACCGGCAGCACGGTTCAGAATGGCCCCTACTACCAGAGTGGTGGCACAGGCGAGCGGAAGACCGTCTACATGACAGGCGGCAGCTCAGGCCGCGCCGCGGCCCCCACGACACAGCGTGCACCAAGACCGTGGCGGGGCACTCCTGGTACGAGTCCTACTGTGAGCTGGCCGAAAAGGTGGGCTTCACACCAGAGGTGCTGGAAATCACTGACAACTTCAAGTTCGGTGCCTCTCGGACCCACCGGTCACACTTTGCCGTGCGCGCCTGGTTTGCTCTGGGCGGGCGCCTCTTCCAGACCGAGGTTGCGGTGGTCCCCTGCGAGGTCCCACTTTTGCTGAGCCGCCCGGCCTTGAGCTCCCTAGGGCTTATCTACGACGTCGGAGGGCAAAAGATTTCTTTCACCAAGCTTTCGCTGGAGGACCTGCCTCTCGAGTACAGTTCCTCGGGGCACCCGGCCGTCTCTGTTGATCAGTTTTTGGGCAAAGTGCCACCCGCTGACAAGGGGCGCGGCGACCTTTTGGTATGGGTGCCACCCGCGGAAGCACATATGACTCAGGGCAGTGTGGCTGAGGGAACTCACGCCCAAGGGGCCGAGGTTGGTCGTACAACGGTGTTCTTCCCGAAGAAGGTAGCCCCTGAAGTGCACAATATGTTAGCCGAACCCTGGGGTCTTGGTGGCCAGAGCTTTCTTGTATGGTGGTCGAGGGACTTTTGGCTGGAGACCCCCAGCGAGATGATCCGGGTACACGTCACGCCCCGTAAGCATTTGTTCGTGCCCTCCAACTGGAAAACACAACATGGCGAGTTGAAGCGCGCCCTCTTGAAGGTCTTGGGGCCCACCAGAACCACGGAGTATATTCCATGCTTGAACGAGGGCGCAGTGCTGCTTTCTCAGTGTGACCAGTGGCAAGAAGCATGTCCTGAGACCACTTGTGGATTGTGGGTCGACCGCAGCCGCTTCTCGAAAGCTGCCGCGCACGCCCCTTCCTTGGACCTCGCGGCGGCGACACATGGCCTCCGAGCTCCAGTCGGTATGGAAAATGAAGAAGGAGCAGATCCTGGGAGAGCTCCGGGGATACGGCGTGGCCTGCCACGAGCGCTGGACACTACCGGAAGTGAGGACCATGCTACAAGAGCAGCGCAAAGCCAGAGCCCCGTATGAAGGGCATCTCGAAGCTCACGCTGGGAGAGTTGCTGCAGAAGTGCCAGGAGTGCCAGGTGACGCTCCCTCCGAAGCCCACCAGAGGGGCTCTGATCTCCCTCCTCCGCACGGCCAACCAGACGCCCGGCGAGCAGGTGCTGGCCTTCGGGAAGTTTCGCGGCTGGATGTTCAAGGAGACCCCACCGGGGTACCGCCAATGGGCCCAGGCCGAAGTGGCGGCCAATGCGAACCACAGCCCGGAGTTAGCGATGTATGCTTCGTGGGCCGAGGCAGAGGACAAGCGTGTGAGGGACAAGGGCTTCGTCGGCGACCAAGGTGATCGAGAACTTGGCCGACGACCCCGAAGCGAATCCGAAGGTGCCGGTGCCGACAGCCAAAGCTCTGGGATTTGGTGGCGCCAGCAGCTCGGACGGCTCTACACGCTCGTGGCTGAAGGTGCGCAGGGCCACACCAAAGACGGTGACCCGCCGGCGCAAGAGCGGGGAGGACAGCAGCGACGAACTCGAGGCGGAGATCCCGGAGGCAGCCAAGGAGGAGATCGCGGCATTGGAGGCAAAGCTGGCCGCCATGAAGCAGAAGCACCGGCAGCCACCGGGGCCCGCAAAGAAGTGAGCATCGCACAGCAGGAGGTTGGCAATGGCTCCGCCGAACAAGGCGGGCCCCCTCCACCATGCAACAGCCAGCCGGCTGACTATGAAACCGCCGCCCGCGGAGTCGGGGGGCTTTATGAACCAGGGCCCGGAGCAGCCATCTATATCACTGCCGGTGAGCAGGTTGATCAGGACTCTGAGGCCGAGCGACGAGGAGAAGACGCCACCCCACGAGGACGAAATTAGGCGCCGGATCCTCCATGGCCAGCGGCGGCGGAGACAGGAAGCCGCAGGCCCTGGGAAGCGAACCATGCGGGGGCTCCGGACCGTGCTCCAGGCAATGGTCTTCTACACGACGGCCGTGGCCGCCCACACCGCTGACACTCTGAGCGGCCCTACGCAGGACTTATGGGAGGTCTTCCAGTCGCAGCACACAGCGCCGCAGGAGGACCACAGCCGGGCCGACTTCCTGGAGATCTTCGCCGGCGGGGCCCGTATCTCTCAGGCCGTGGCTCGCTTGAAGGGAGCGGCTCTAGAGCCCCGCGACCAGCGCTACGGGCACAACCTGTACGACCGCCACGTCCAGGACGAGATCTACCGGAAGGTCGTGGAGGAGAAGCCCAAGCTGAGCCATGGTGCGTTCCTTCAGGGCAGAGCGGGGGCAAGCAGGCCCAAAGGAGAGCCAGACACCGAGAGGAAGGCGTGGTGGAGTTCATCGACCAATTGGCGCGACACCAGCACGGCCGAGGCGATCACATAGCGATCCAGAACCCCAGGGGTTCCGACCTGTGGAGGCACCCGGCCTTGGGAGCATGGTGCTGCATGGTAGCGCCACCTACGCCGAAGTCGACCTGCACGGCGACCACCTGACCACCAGCTCGGGGCCCTGAACAAGATCAACCTCGGCACGGCGACAGCCAGCCCCGCCAGTGACAACCGGAGAGCGGTGACACACCCCTACTCGCTTGCCAAGGTGGTCGCTAAAGTGGCTATGGGAATGGGGCGGCGACGCGAGCACGCACGAAGCAATGGTGACACACACCGAGGACCGCCCGAACAGCAAGGCGGCAGGCCACTCAGATGAGGAAGACCCCGTCGACGCCATCATTGGAGCGAACGCGATCACCTTCAAGGGCAAGGTCAACCCGGCCGTGGCAAAGATCCTCAAGAGGCTCCACCAGAACCTCGGGCACCCACCCAATCGGGAGTTTGTGAAGCACCTCCGGTTGGGAGGAGCAGGGCCCGCCATGATCCAGGCGGCTGAGCAGCTGGTGTGCCGGACTTGCCGGACTTGCGCCCGAAGCACAAAGGCAAAGCTACCCCGTGTTGCTAAACCCGTGGTGGCCTTATAGACTTTGGGGAGGTGGTGGCCGTCGACGTGATCTGGCTGGAGGCTGCCGACAGCGAGGGCGCCGATATCCCCGCGCTCAACATGGTGGACGTCGCCTCCACCTACCAGGTTGTCTACCCCATGGCCGGGACTAAGTCAGAGGATGCAGCCCAGGCCTTTATGCAGGGATGGGTCCAGTGGGCCGGTGCACCCCGTTTCGTGATAGCCGACCTCGACTCCGCCTTCAAGGACCAGTTCCTCACCAGGCTCGACCAGCTCGCGGTGCACATTCGGTGCGCGGCGGGGCAGGCGCACTGGCAAAACTCTGTGGCCGAGCGACAGGGTGAGAGCTGGAAGGCAATCTGGAAGAAGCATACCGAGGACAACCTGATACTCAAGGACGAGGCGGCGGAGGCGATAGCAGCGATCAACTCGGCGAAGAACGGGCTGAGGAACCGGTCGGGGTATTCGCCACGACAGTGGGTCTTTGGGGCTAACCAACGGCTCCCGGGCGATCCCTTTGATGCACCCGACGACCTGACTACCGCCGACAGCAAGTTCGCCCGGAGCCAATTGATCCGGCTCGGGGCCCGCACCGCCTTCTGCCAGGTGCAGGCTTCTGACACCCTGCGGCGAGCAGCCGCACACCGACCTCGAGTTGAAGCCCTGCCTTTCGAGCCCGGCTCCCTGGTCTACGTCTTCAGGAACGTCCGCCCAGGGAAAGGCAAGAAACCCGCTCCCACATGGATCGGGCCGGCTACCGTGCTGGGGCGCGAGGGGTCAAACTACTGGACCTCGCGGGGCGGGCGTTGCATGCTGGTGGCCGCCGAGCACCTTAGGGCAGCCGAGCACGAAGAGGTCAGTGAGTACATGCGCCTCCGCCTGGCTATGGAGCTGGCCGAGTTCATAAAGAATGACGACGAGGGCTTCCCGGCCGGCACTGCTGGCACCGACGGCTGGGACGATGCAGGCCGGCCCGGAGGACGCGCACATGGACGTTGAGATCGAGATGGAGGCGCCAGCGGAGCCGGACCCCCGCATCGAAGAGGTCGAGCAGCGTGAGGAAATCATCGCCAGCGCCGGCCGGCGGCGCGGGATCCTGGATGATGTGCCTGCCTCCCTGAAGCGGCTGAAGACTACCTACATGGCGGCCCGGAGAAGGTCCGAGAAAGGAAAGGCGAAGCAGCTCGAGAAGGAGCTGCCGTGGCACCTCATACCCGATGACGAGAAGCCGCTCTATATGGAGGCGGAGAAGACACAGTGGGAGGAACACATCGCCTTCGAAGCGGTCCGGCCTCTCAGCCTCACCGAAAGCAAGCACGTCATGGACCACGAGGACCCGGCGCGCATCCTGAATGCCAGGTTTGCGTACAAGGACACGCGGCATGCGCAGCGGCGCCTGGATCCTACTTTGGCGCCTAAACCAAAAGCCCGACTCTGCGTGTCGGGGCAGAACGACCCCGACTTGGGTGTGGCCGACATGTCCACCGACGCGCCGACAGCCAACCGCCACAGCGTGCTCATGGCCCTTCAGCTGGCGCTGGCCCGGGGCTGGAAGGTCTCGGTCGGAGACGTCAGAGCTGCTTTCCTGAATGGCATCCCAGCACCCCGTCGACTCTACTTCCGGCAGCCCAAGCGCGGCATACCAGGACTCATGCGGGACAGCTTGTGGAAATAGTGAAAGGAGTTTTCGGGCTGGCTACGAGCCCAAAGCTGTGGTGGATGAAGCTTTCGGGGGACCTCAAGAACATGCGTGTGCAGGGACCCGAGGCGGAGGTGCGCATCGAGCAAAACACGATCGACTCGTGTTGCTTTATGTTGGTCGGCGTGAAGACTGGCAAGGTACGGGGCCTCCTGCTCACTCACGTCGACGACTTGTTGCTGCTCACAGAAGAGGCGCTGCGCCTCCCCGTCCAGACTAAGCTCAAGGAGCTCTTCCCGGTGGACGATTGGGAAGACGACTGCTTCAGCTACGTGGGCTGTGAGTATGAATGCACGGCCGAGGCGGTGGTGATCAAGCAGCGCAACTACTGCGAGACCCGGGTCGACAAGGTGACCGTTCCCCCGGGCGTTCCTGAGGACACCGCCGCCAACCAGGACCAGATCGAGGAGAACAGGACAGCCATCGGCAGCGTCTCTTGGCTGGCAAAGATGACCCGGCCCGACCTTCAGTTCCAGGTGTCGCAAGCCCAGCGGCGACAGAACGCCCCTACGGTGAGAGACCTCAAAGAGACCAACAAGTTGGTCGATGCAGCACGGGCCGGTGCCGATCGCGGCCTGACGCTACACCGTGTCGCGGAGGAGGACCTGGTGCTGGTGGCCTTCCACGACGCAGCCTGGGCCAACGTGCAGAACCCGGACGTGACGGAGGAGGACCTGGTCTGGAACGGCGAGCACACTTTGTCCTCGCAGCTGGCCTTCCTGGTGGTGGTGTGCGACCGACGGTCCCTCGAAGGAGGTGCCGGGAAGTTTGGCATTGTCGAGTGGAGGAGCAAGGCCAGCCAGAGAGTGTGCCGGTCAACTTTTGCCGGAGAGACCATGGCCTGCAGCGACGCCCTGGAAGCAGCTCTCTTCTTACGAGGGCTACTGGTGAGCCTCCAGACCGGCCAGGCAGTACCCGAGAGCGTGTGCGGGAAATTCCTGGAAGTGCACATGGTGACGGACTGCAAGAGCTTCTACGACCACGTACACCGAGAAGGGACGCCCAAGGCACCTACTGAGAAGCGGCTCGCGTTAGACCTGGCGAGCATCCGCCAGATATTGTCTTGCGAAGTAGGACACCAGTGGAGCCGCAGACACGGCGACACCGGAAAGCCTTCCCCTGAAAAGCCGGCACGCCCACCACTTCATTGGGTCCCGACTCACGAGCAACTCGCTGACGTCTTGACCAAGAAGATGAGTGCCGAGGGTTTTTGGAACGCCGTCGAGGGGGGGCTGATCTCGCTTCCCCTTCTCAGACGAACATGAGAGGGAAGAAGCT